TGCCCCACTGTAGCGACGGGCCTGGGACTGATCCCCCCCTCACCACAACAGAGGGTGCTCTGTGGTTTGGCTTGAGCGAGTTCCCCTGGGGGGGGGGTTGCAGTGTTAACTGGTGGGACTATCCGCTGCAGGCCACCACCCCTGCAAGGTAGAACAATTCCAAAGAAAGCACTCAAACCTCTACCGAAAGGTAAGGCCTGAAGGGATCCCGGAGACTGCTGTAGGAAAGGGTCGATGTGCCTTTGGCTGCATTCAGCAGGGTTGTTCTTAGGTAATCCCCCCCTTCCCTAGAATGTCCAGTATCTAAGGGGAGTTCGGCCACTCAAGAGCCACAGCTGAGCTCAGCCCCAGAAGGCGCTTTGGAGCCTCCAGATCCCGGGCCCCAGAAGGCCTCCCTCCCTCCTTACCCAGCAGCCTTGATAATTCTACCAAACCAAACGTTGCTTAGAAGTGAAGCAGCAATGTCCCATGGGCATTCCCTGCCCGTTCCCTTGACATAACCATGAAAGATACCCACTCGCCAGGACATCATTGAGCGACTACAGTCTACTAAGAATCGCTTATTGGCATTGAAAAGGAATAATCCGTATGGCCCTCCTGGTGACCAGCTGGGTCTGTGGAATAGTAGTGATGCAGCACGGGAGGGCACTAGGTTGCTTCCGTCTACACAGGACCTGCTAGATTCTCGACCTTTTCAGGGCCCGAACAATGAAGTATGGGTGGCCCCGGACGTACCTGAGGTGGCCGTGAGCACCTGGGTCTCACCTCAGGTATTGAGGAATGGTAGTGTTCTTGTGGACTGGGAGCAGTCTCTTAACCAGATAACAGAAGTGGATTGACTAAAGGGGGGACTAGCACCTGCCAACTTTAAGATCCTTTCATGGAACATTGCGGGCTGGAAAAATAAGTTGGGGGATCCTAATTTTAGTGATTTTCTTAGTTCATTCGATTTAATTTTACTTCAGGAAACGTGGGCACATGAGGAGATATTTTTAGAAGGTTTTAGAGTTTGTATTCTACCGGCTTTTAAACTGGAACGGTTTGGGAGATACCCACTCGCAGGAAGCTCATTTGGAAAGGAAGTTGCCTCTTGAGATCTTCCTCTTGAGATCTTCCCCAGCCATTCTTGGGACACGAGGCCTTTGTCCGTTTCCACCGCAGTCTCTCTTACATTCCTGGCTTCTTTGAAAGACAGAGGGAGGGAGAAGTGATGGTTCTCATATGGGGGAAGGAAACAAACCCAAGGAGGAGTCAACATTCTTCCGGAAGGGCGGAACCGTGGTCAAGAACAAGGCCCACAATCTGAACCCGTACAAGGCGGACAGATCCGTACCAGATCACAGTCAGAGAGCGGATGGCTGTAATCCCGTCTGGGGCAAGGGCATGGTGTAAAGGTGGACACCTGAGAAATTGGGATCGGGCCGTTTCCAGAGTCTTTCTGGGGGCCTCTCAGCCTGGCCTTTGCTTCAGGTCAGGACACCCTCTCTGGCTTGGGTGGTGGCCGCAACACTGGCCTCCGTTGCCCCTGGATCAGTGGGGTGGCTTGTGTTGCTCTACCCAGCCATACTGAACGTCGCTTTCACGACCACCCCAAGTCCTTTAGGCCTCTGGCAGGGGGGCAGGTAGCTGGGCGGGTCACCCAAGCATATATTGCCATTCGACATTTTGATCCAGCCAATAATTTGATCCATGCAATTTGTACCTTAGGCACCTATGGAAGATCCTTACCCAGAGAGGCCACACTCCCATAGTTCTCCAGCATGACTTCCTTGTAAAGAGCTCTTTGGCCCGGATCCAGCAAGGCCCACTCGGCCTCGGTGAAAGACACGGCCACCTCCTCGAAGGCAAACGGAGACTGAAAGAAAGAGAAAGAGATCCCTCATCAGAAACCATGCCAGGCAGAGAAGGCACTTTCAAAAGGTGCATTCTGGGAGGGTGAAGGGTGCCGTTTGGAGCCTCTCGTGCTCAGACAGCGGGGGGGCCCCCCGAAAGCCGCCCCCCCCACTTTCCCCTTCTTCTACGTTTTTTATTCAAAGGTAAGTCACGCATACATAAAATCCAATAAGCATAAACAGTAATGCATTCAGCCCTATTTCAACGGCGTGTAAACAAATAGAGTTAATACATTTCAATATATCCATATATCAAAATTAACTTTGCCTGACTGAGGCCTTACGCTCTTTGTTTTGTTCCCAAGTATCCTACCACTAATATGTGAGTGTCTTATATTACCATTAAAAGGTAAATGTTCCCTTGCTCGAAAGCCAGTCGAGTCCGACTCTAGGGTTGTGGTCCTCATCTCCGTTTCAAAGCCGAAGAGCCAGCGCTGTCCGAAGACATTTCTGTGATCATGTGGCCGGCATGACTAAACACCAAGGTGCACGGAAGGCTGTTACCTTCCCACCAAAGTGGTACCTATTTATCTCCTTGCAATTTCTTGCTTTTGAACTGCTAGGTTGGCAGGAACTGGAACTAGAGACGGGAGCTCACTCCGTCATGCGGCAACTCAGGTCTCGAACTGCGGAACTACCAACCTTCCACAGCTTGCAGTTCAGCGTCTTAACCACTCGAGCCACCGCAGCTCCTTATATTACTATTAAGATATAAGTAAAAGCTTGTGGGAAGACCGCTCAGACCCTAAAATAAAGGCTAACTGAAGTAAGAAAAGGCAACTCATAAATGAAGCCATTCGGCAAAGCAAAAGCCCCCCTGAGAAGCAATCCAAGCCCCCCTGAGAACCTCCAAGCAATTCTGGAGGTTTTTTGTCATCTCCTGGGCGTGGAACAGAGGTCACGGAGGGTGTGGAGGAGGAGGTATTTGTGAATTTCCTGCATTGTGCAGGGGGTTGGACTAGATGGTGGAGATTGGATTTATACCCCGCCCTTCACTACCCAAAGGAGTCTCAGAGCGGCTTACAATCCCCTTTCCCTTCCCCTCCCCACAACAGACACCCTGTGAGCAGTGTTCCCTCTAAGCTGAGTTAGTGTGAGTTAGCTCACAGTTTTCTAGCCTCCGGATCACACATTTTTGCCCTAGCTCAAGAAGGAGGGCTCCAGAGAAAACTAATCCATGCGGTAGCCAAATCACTCGCTCACAGCTTTAATGCCAGTAGCTCACAAAGTAGAATTTTTCCTCACAAGACTCCATAGCTTAGAGGGAGCACTGCCTGTGAGGTGGGTGGGGCTGAGAGAACTCTGGCAGAAACTGCTCTTTTTCAAGAACAGCTCTTGTCAGAACTGTGGCTTGCCCAAGGTCATCTAGCAGGTGCAAGTGGAGGAGTGGGAATCAAACCCGGTTCTCCCAGATTAGAGTCCGCGCACTTCACCACAACACCAAACTGGCTTTAGATGACCCTGGAGGTCCCTTCCAACTCTATGATTCTATGACTATTCATAAGTCACACATACATAAAATCCAATAAGCATAAACATCCATTCATTCCCTCTACCTGGTCCACAGCTGGAACAGTCATTTCCACTCCTCTGCAAAGGCAACAGCTCAACCACGTCGCGTCACTGCCTGGAAAGGGAAACAAAACTGGAAGGATGTACTTTGACCTCAGGCTCCTAGTTTGTTTGCACCTTTGAATTCTGCTCCGTGCCTCCCCATGCCCAGGGCTGTGAAACTTTCTCTTCTTGACACTCAAGGAAACTTATAATGGCTTTCAATAAACGGTAGGGGAGGCAGAAGAGAAACACCAGGTACCCACGAGCCTCGGGGGGGGGGGGGTGTTAAAACACTGGTGACCCCCTTTTTAGACTTCTGTTAGACTTGAAATGTGCCCTGTGACCAGTGTTCCCTCTAAGCTGAGTTGGTGTGAGCTAGCGCACAGTTTTTTAGCCTCTGGCTCACACTTTTTTGTCTCAGCTCAGCAAGGAGGGCTCCAGAGCAAACTGATTTATGCAGCAGCCAAAGCGTTCGCTCACAACTTTAATGCCAGGAGCTCACAAGGTAGAATCTTTTGCTCACAAGACTCCACAGCTTAGAGGGAACATTGCCTGTGACCCCTGGGGCTGAAAAGGCTGCAGCTCCCCTGCTGGATGAGACCCAAAGCCCAGGCGTGCCATTCTCCCACCTGCTGGGCCTTCTGACCCATCGTGGTGTTCAGGCACATCGCGATCCAGCCCAAAACCCCAGATGTGATCTTAGTGCGTCAACCAAGGCTCTGGAAACTCTAGGGTACTACCGGGTGGGTCTCCGGGGCATCTGCTGATGCTCTGACGTCCCACCCAGGTATTTGGCTGGGGGAGACATCAAGATGACATCCATGTCCACCCCGTGCTCCACCCTCAAGCATCACGGGGGTGCCAGGCCACGGCACCCCTAAAGCCCAGGCGTGCCATTCTCCCACCTGCTGGGCCTTCTGACCCATCGTGGTGTTCAGGCACATCGCGATCCAGCCCAAAACCCCAGATGTGATCTTAGTGCGTCAACCAAGGCTCTGGAAACTCTAGGGTACTACCGGGTGGGTCTCCGGGGCATCTGCTGATGCTCTGACGTCCCACCCAGGTATTTGGCTGGGGGAGACATCAAGATGACATCGTGCTCCACCCCGTGCTCCACCCTCAAGCCTCACGGGGGTGCCAGGCCACGGCACCCCTGGTCAGGGGTCATTTCGTAGAAAAAGAGGTGCAAGAGCTCATTTGCATAACTCATTTGGATATGCCACACACCCCGACCTCACCGGAAGTGTGTAAGAAGGCAACACCCACCGCTCAGGCTCCACTGGACTGTTTTGGATTGGAGGAGGGTGAGCTTGTACCTGAATAAAACCTGGTCTTAAAGGTGTCACTTAAAGGTTTTGGATTGCTAGCTATTGGGGGGAGGGAACGTGCAGATCTGTCCTCACAGAGGAGGGAGAGCTTGTACCTGAATAAAACTTGGTCTTAAAGGTGGAACTGGGCTGTTTTGGACCGGGGGCACTCTGCAACTTACGTGGCTGCTTCTTGCTCTGACTGTGGGCTGCTGGGAGCGGGGTGGTGGTGGGGCTATTTGGATGTGCCCGCCCCCTGGGCTCTTTACTGCCGGAGCTCCGCTCCTGTGCGCTCCTGCAGGAAATGACCCCTGCCCCTAGTCCAGTATCCTCTTTCTGACTGTGGACTGCCAGATGTCTCTCTTAAGCCTTTAAGCAGGGGGCACAGAACCCAAATTATTGGGCCCTAGCAATGGGCTTTCAGAGGTATGCTGCCCCAGAACATGGTGTGTGTGTGTTTGTGTGTAACCTGCGGTCAAGTCAAAGCCAACGTCTGGTGACCCCACACTTATTCAAAGCAAGAGCCATAAAAAGGTGGTATGCCATTGCCTGCCTCTGTGTCAGCTATGCTGGCATGATAGTTCAGGAGGCCATCGGCTTCCCTTTTCTGTGTACCAATTACTGCTGCATTCCTTCTGTGCTTCGTCTCTGCTGTAACGCTGTTATCTCTAAAATGTGCAGGTGGTGTAGTGCCTGGCGCAAAGGAAAAACCGTGGGAGCGTTATCGGTCCCCAGCTTCGACTCTAACGGTCTGGGGCTCCTTCTCCCATGCGCGGGAGTCAGGCCTTTTGGCCTATGGAGGGGGGGGGGTGCATACGAATTCCCTATATCCCATTTTGCTTGTGGGGCGACGCCATTCTTAACAGTGCTTCTGTTAATGCATCTATAGCTCTTCAATAAAGTATAACCTTTCTGATAAGCGTGTACTCAGTTGTTGGCTGTGGAACCTGACACTCTGCATGGCAACCCCCTGGACTTCTTTGGTGGTCTCCCATGCAAGAACTAAGCAGGGCTGACCCTGCTTAGCTTCTGAGATCTGATGAGATCGGGCCAGCCTCGGCCCTCCATGCCAAGGTGTTGGGTATTACAAGTTGAAAACACTCAGTATATCTGGGGTTAAATGTTTGTTTATGTTACTCACAGGAAGTCACATGTTTCTCATGTAACCAATGTTCTGACAGGGCTCTTTTTGTAGCAGGAACTCCTTTGCATATTAGGCCACACACCCCTAATGTAGCCAATCCTCCAAGAGCTTACAGAGCTCTTCTTACAGGAGCTACTGTAAGCTCTTGGAGGATTGGCTACATTAGGGGTGTGTCACTTAATATGCAAAGGAGTTCCTGCTACAAAAAGAGCCCTGATTTATGCCCGGGAATTTTCTCCCTGATCTAGGGATTTGATTGGGACTAAAGTGTCAAGGTGTATTACCATTTTATGGCTTCTCTTCCCGTCTTTGTTTTGGTGTTCTGAAGAACAAGAAGAGTAGCCATAATCTCTCTCTTCTAGTTTTGTCTTTGTAGAGTAAGGATGTAGCCGATTATGCTCTGTTGTTATTTTCATCCCAGTTACCCTTCCCCATGCTAGAATTTAGTAAAAACTTTATATTTTAATCACACATGGACTCTGAGTCTGAATTATTTTACTCTGGCTCTGCTGCACTATCTTATCTCTGGTAAATACCAATTTTTCAATATCTCACTATCACCCAACACAGGGGAACGTGGGTGTTCCATTTATTCACCATGACTAAGAGCTGCACACAGATCAGTCTTCCTGTTCTTTTTGGAGCCACCAAGAGTCTCTCTAATGGAAGGAAGGCGCGATATGCAAATATGAGTTCACGTAAATACGAATGGAATTGCCCCTCTGTGAATCGTTCTACTTCTCCTTCAAGTGGAGTGGTCATCGCTA